AGGTTAGCGGGGATAACAAAGCTAAATGTTGATAAGAGAATAACCCCCCCCCCCCACAAACTACACCTAAATATCACGGTATTGTTAAACCTGTTTAAACGGTTATATTTACAAAACTAAACTGTAAGATGCTGATGTGTTGAAAGGTTTTATTTAAGATCTCAGAAATATGAAACTTTAATTTTGGGTTTAAATTCCTACAAGCTAGAAACTAGAGTCATGAAACCTTCGTAAAGCTAAATAAAATGGGCGTTGGAAGAGTGCTGGATTTAATATAAATATTAATTTTACGTTGGGGAGGGGGAAGCAACGATGTTTTCCCCCAATTTGAATTAAGGTCATATTTTTCGTTAATAAAGCCCATTTTTATGACCACCCACCGGCCACCATTCAAAAATCTTTTAATTTGTTGTAAAAATAAAAGTCATATTATTCGTTAATAAAAGCCCATTTGTATGATCATCCACCGGCCACCATTCAAAAATCTTTAAATTAGTTGAAAAAATAAAATATATTTTTAGGGGGGAAAACAACGGTAAAACAGGACTTAAATTTCGTACTCTAAACACCAGAGCTGAAAACTTTAGAATTGTGGATATTGAGATCAATTAATCCTCTCTTTTTGCTAATCTCAAGATTAATGTTTAGAGATTAGAGATGCGCTCTCTAACTTATGAAAACCCGGTAATTAATTTTCCAGCATTTTTGTTGTCATATCAATTGGACTAATGATCGATTGAACGCACTTAAGTTTTGGATTAATGTTCATTAAGACTAATGTTCAAAAGAACTTTAGTCTTCAAATGTGATAAAATATGTTTTTTAATAAGTTAATATTAACATGATTAAATTTATATTTGTTTAATTGCTCTAAAAGTCGGCTTATGAACAGCTGACTTTAGTTCAATCGGATACTAGTCCAATCAATACAGCATCGTGTCTGTATTTGTAATCAAATCATTCAATACATCCCATTTTTATATTCTATCTACATTCATTCAATACATCACATTTTTATATTCTATTTACATTCATTCAATACATCCCATTTTTATATTCTATCTACATTCATTCAATACATCCTATTTTTTTTATTCTATCTGCATTTTACATCTCTTATCTAAATGAAATCAAATTTTTCTTGAGGAAACGTTTGCATTAAATTACAGCAAAAACTTTATTCAAGCCTTATATTCTTACTTTGATTCTAGGAAAAATGTGAAGAATGTTTGACAAAAAGCTTGAATTTTGCTGAAAGCAAATTCTCATTTTTATTAAAAAGCATAAAACTGTATTTGGTGTTAAGTCAGTTTAACTTTCAGCAAATAAAATTGGCACGAAACGGTTTCGTGACAAAATTTCTAAGTGTGATGTCATAATATTTGATTAAAACTTTAAAATTGAATTTTTAAGAGAAAATATCTTGAATGAATAGAAAAGAATGAATAAGTTAAACTTTATTTTTTTTATGATTACCCCCCCCCCCCCATTTTAAGATTTATTTTTGTGCTAAGTGGCAAAATTTGTTAAGGGTTTTATTCGCAGAATTAGGGAGAGTATAGATTTCAGGGAACATAAATGAACATTTGCAGATAAAAAGTATCAAATATTGTAAAAACAACTTGTCCATTTTTGTTTAAGAACAACTTCTTAAAAATGTGCTAGTTTTATTTTTCATTGAGATTTATGTTTGTTTTGAGTTGTTTCAAAATAGAATTGTATTTCTTAAAGAGAGAAAGAGATTTGAGGGAAAAAAGAATTCTAATGAAATTCAAAGTTTCCTAAAAATCTACATTCAGACTAACAACATTCGGATAAGCATAGAAGTTGGGATTGAATGGCGGGGGGAGAGGGGGGAATTCAAACAAGTTTTATTTATTTACATTTTGTGTGTAGGAAATATAAACACCGCAGTACGCAGCATTTTTAGCGTAAATGTTTTATTGTGAGAAAATATTAAGCGTTGAAGAAACTCGGTTTTTGCCACAACCCCAAATTTATCACCCCGATATCTTTGCAATCTGATGGTGCCAACTTTTCGTTTTTTTCAAACTTATGCTGTTTGATCCAACAGAATACAAAATTTGAAATTTCAAAGGTCTACAACATCGGGTTGCAAAGATATAAGGATTTAACGAGTTTGTTGTAAAATCTCAGTTCCGTGGATATTAGTTATAGAAAAGATATTATGAAGGAAAACTGGAGAATTATTAATGATATATTATTGGCCGGAAGTAAGATGAAAGGTGTGGTAAGAACCCATCTGTTTACTAAGGAAATACAGAAACCGATAGGCGGGGGAAATGGGGGGGGGATAATTTCCCTAAAAATTTACATTTCCCCTTTTGAAGCTTAAAAGTTTAAACGCCCCTGGGAAAAAGTAAGTACATGTAGGTAAGGAGGCAAAAACGATAGATTTATAACAGATTAAGAAAAATATCAAAGAGAGATATCAGATAATGAAAAAGAGATTAGATGATTCTAGAAAGGACTTGATTATTCGCCTCAAACTCGAATTTTCTAATTCATGTATATCAGCAACCTGATATGTAAACTTTTCATTTTTTAACCTTGATCATTAATTGATCTGGCAGAATGAATAGCTTGAAATATCAAAGGTTTACCACACAGGTCTGCCGCTTTTGTAATTGTAAATTGGGGGTACAGTGCAATCTAGGTCCGCAAGGTTGGCCCAACTCGAATATCCTTGTTTTTAATCTTTGTGAAGAAACAATCTCAAGAACTGACGAGGGTAAACCCAGACCGAAATATATTTTCAATAAATGTGGAACTAACATCTACTTTTTTACTCTACAGAGGTATGGTCCATCACCATCACCGAATTTTAAAATGTAAACTGGTTGTGCGTATTACGACAACTCAGCTAAGATATGAGGATGAGAAAATAAGGGTTTGAACTTTGATAATAAGATTCCGATCAAAATATTAGTGGGATTAATGAAAAATATTGACACGTAATGTCAATGGAGGTAAGTATAGGACGGAGGTAAGAATGCCGGAGATAAATAGGACGGAGGTAAGTAGGACGGAGGTAAGTAGGACGGAGGAAAGAATACCGGAGATAAATAGGACGGAGGAAAGAATGCCGGAGATAAATGACAGAGGTAAGTAGGACGGAGGTAAGAATGCCACAGATAAGTAGGACAGAGGTAAGCAGGACCGAGGTATGAATGCCGGAGGTAAATAGGACCGAGGTAAGAGTGACGGAGGTAATGCCGGAGATAAATAGGACGAACGTAAGAAGAACTGAGGTAAGCAGGACGGAGATAACTAGGACGAAATGATTGATTGGACAAGAGGTAGGGAGGGAGTTCTAAACATCAAAAAGTAGAAGATAGTGAAGCTAGAACTGAGAAAGCTGAGGTTGGAAATGAATTATGAGAGAAATGAAAATTTCGCTGAATAAAACTGTAACATTTAGGGAGGAAAAATTTTAGGGGGAACAAAAATTTTAAATAATCTAAGAAAGCAGAATTGAAAAAAAAAGAGAGAAGCACACAGCAACGGAGTAAAAAATAGATTTATTTATAATATGACGTAGAACAAATAAAAGAACGAATGAACTTAAAATAAGACAAGAATTAAGGAGATTGAAAAACTGGATCAATTTATATCATGTTAAGTTTTCAAAACCCAGCCGAAATTGTTCATAAATCTTTTTTATGTATTTAAATTATAAATTGTTAGTGCTAAACATATAATAATTCATTTTTAAACATAATTACTTGCAATAAATTCAGAAAGTCTGCCTTACAAATTGTAAACATGAATGACAAAAAATAACATAAATAAGATGTCGGTATTGTTAAAATATTTAATTTTTCTTGCTTAGAGATGACGATTTAATGCCTTTATCATATTGTAGTTTTATCCGTTATTTTTCAATCAAAAATAAATTTGTGGATTACCAGTCTTTAATCTTAAACTTATTAACCTTGCAATATTCTTTGTTTGAAGATAAAAGGTCTACGACATCAGGGTGCAAAAATAAAAGGATTAGAAAATTAGAGTTTGAGTAATTACATAGGGGTGTATATTTCCATGAAAAATAATTTCCCCCCCCCCTCTTTCGAAACTCAGTAGTTATAAATATTTTTAAGGATTTTCTTCGCTGAATCGGGGTTATTATTAAAATATACACCCCTCCGGTTCAGATTTAGCTGATTCTATGAGTATGTCATGTTGCTTAGTCATATAATCAAAAGTAAAACTAAAAATATACTTTTGTATCTTTTAATACATTCTTGGTTGATTTCATTACAACATAAAAGGGGCTACTAGGATGGGGCTGGGGTACAAAAAAACAAAAGACCGTTAATAAGGTATAAAATAATAATTTTTTACTTATTGTAAGGACATACACTACCCCCCCTACCAGGCCTAGAGTGAGCTTACATTATGCAATTACTTTCAAATGTATATTTTCAGTGGGATGGATGTACGACTAACTTGCAAACTTTTATTATTTTTATTACGAGAAACAATTAATTTAGTGTTTGTGTAGCTAAACAATGAAGATATATTTATTTCACCAATTATTCAATTGAGCGAGTTCTCTCAAATAAACACAAACAATGCAGAATCAGCTGATCTATATAAATCTAGATTAAATGGACTCCAGCTCTAATTTAATCCTAATCTTTGCCCCCGGATATCGTGTGGTTTACTGTTTCGATCATGGGCATAGTCAGGAACTTGTCCAGGAGGGGGGGGGGGTTCTACCCTTCTGATTTCGGTCTATGAACTCAGCTAGATAAATTATCTTTAATCAATGAATTTAAATTGTTAACAATAATACTATTTTAAATTCTTTAAAATTAAGCAATATAATTAGCAAAACAATCTTTTATGAATGAATATATTTTTTATTATTAGATCTAGTGTTTTACAAATCAAATTGTACGTATAAAATATCGTCACTATTTCCTCTACTAATAGGTTAATAAATCAATATCAAAATTCAAAACTTTATGTTTAAACTTTATGCACATGTTATGCTTTGATAAATCTAATGTGATTGTAAAAAAAAACCTACTCATTGAATTATTGATTTCTATATTCCTTCTAGCTCTATCTGCTCAGTTCACTAATTTATGGTTTTGCAAAATCTCACTTTTTTTGTTCACAAAAATATCTTAAATTTCACGATAATCAATATTATAATCTATTTTTAGTAATTTTTACTGTGTAATTTCTATATTCTTTGTGAGTAAAGTTCTTATAACGACCCAGCCCTAAAACTAGCTGTTTTTCTTCACTGAGTTCCTCTATGCCCGGGTAGGTTTGGTTTGGCTCGGATGTATCGATCTCTGTACGCCGGGACGCCAGAACGCATGCGCAGTAGAAGTTCCCCGTACGCCGGGGCGCTACTACGCATGCGTAGAGGGAATTTCTCCAATCATATCTCACCCTTTAATTTTTCAACCAATGAGAGAACCGCATTAGAAGAATGTTGATTTCCTGACACTCAGTTCCCTAGACTCCCCTACTTACATCTGCTCAGGGTCCCTATAAACACTCCCCCCTTAGAAACCGGTTTTTAGGTAAACATTGTCAAATATATTATCTGCAATATATTATTTTGTTTTGTTTTGTAAGATTTACAAAGAAAGAAAATTGCGTGATGAAGTAAACAGAGAACCGAGTGCCTCAAAAAAAGTTCTTCATAGTGGTAGAGTTGTGGAGTCTGTCTTAGTGAACGATTTTTGGACCCCATTGTACGTGATTTAAGCAAATTTATTAATATTTATTTTTGGGTTTATAGGTTAGGTTAACACAATGTCTGGGCCGAGCACTGTTGCCTAGGTCAGGCTAGGGGCAAAGCGCTTCGGCTAGGACAGGGTAGGGAGCGGGCGCTGCGGCCACATGACTAATTATATCCATATGTTACATGAGATTCATGTACAACTTTGATAGGAGTGGGGGGGGGGTCTGTCCTAGTGAACGATTTTTGGCCCCCCCCCGTGCCTCCCCCTCCCCACCCTTCCTATCAATTTTGTAAATGACGATTTATTTTTCAGTAAATTTATTATTTATTTTTTGTTATTTAGGGTTAGGTTAGGTTAGGTTAAGACACTTTCTGGGCCGAGCGCTGCGGCTAGGATGGGCTAGGGGGCCGAGCGCTGCGGCCACGGGTTAGGTTAGTTAAGACACTTTCTGGGCCAAGCGCTGCGGCTAGGACAGGCTAGGGGGCCGAGCGCTGCGGCCACGGGTTAGGTTAAGTTAAGACACTTCCTGTCAGACCCATGTACAAAATTGATAGGAGGGGGGGCACGGGGGGGGGTCCAAAAATCGTTCTCTAGGAATATACTGGGGGGGGGGTCCAAAAGTCGTAAATTAGGAAATTACCGATATCTACAATGTACAATTTAAAATTGACGAAGACTTAAAAAATACAGCATGCAAATCTTTACAGATGATTTAGTTAATGTTTTAATGGTAAAAATTATGTATTGTAAATAGTTAAGTTGTATACTTTGATTTTAAGAAAAACGTTGATTTGAAAAAAATTATATAAACCATTGTAATCCATATTGACGTAAATGACAATTATATTTTAAATTTTACAAAAAATTAGATTTGGGATTTAGCTATATTGTACGATTTTATGTTGTCAGGGATGATAAACAGAGGTATATACGGGGGGGGGGGGGCAGTCCCCCTCTCTTGATCAGTGGAATAAATCATTTCCAAGGGGAGATTTTCAAGTCTTAGCTGGGTGTCCATCCCTGTACGGTAAAAAATATTGAATACTACCCCTGGACAAATTCTTGTAAGCGCCCCTGTTACAAAAAGAATTATAGATGTTTGTTGAGCAACCTTTCCGGCAATATTGTTTTCGTTGGAGGGTGAAACCTTGTTAAGTAAACAAACTTTCATCGTTTTTGATTATTATTGTGTCAAGTATTATCAATATGTTTTCTCCAGGTTCTCCTAAACCCTGATGGAGAGGTTTGAAAGAAAGAGGGCTGTATCAGGGTTTGCTGTAGACCTGCTCTCCGAGTGCCTGGACAGTACTAGAGATGTGATTGCTAGATGTTCAGATGGAGAAGTATTATTCAACAGGAAACTACACACATTATAGTCATTAGTTCGGGGACATCTTGTAGTTGTCATTTAAATTATGCCCTTCCATCAGGGCAATAATAGTTGTCGAGGGGATATAATTAAACAAATACTAGATTTATATAAAGACACTTTATTTCCTAATTATCCAAATTAAAATTCTAATTCTGTTTTGAGTATATTTTGTAATTTTTAATAATAATTTTTCCTATTTTTCAGTCTACTGAGAAATGTAACCATAACTCTTTACATGTTGGAAATAATTTTCTTAATCCTTTTAAATATTATTTAATTAAGGATATTCGACAGGCAAAGAAATCTTTATTTATGTTAATTACATTATTATAAAGATTTTTATTATTTTTATCATTCAGTCCTAAGCTATTCAGTATGAAGTCTATAATTGTTGTGGTTTAAGATATTTCCTGGGTTTATTGAGTCCTGTTCTCTACAGGATATTCAATGATTGTCTCTACAACTCCCTCCCCCAGATCTCCATCCTCCTCCCCGACTTTACGAAGCACGAAGTCAAGAAGTTAAAGAAACTAGTTTCCCAAGATGAGAGTTTAAATCCCAAATCAGGATTGTCAGATGCTCTAGCGTTGATGCGGCCCCTGGAGAAAAGATCGAAGATAGTTTCTCCGATCTCGAGAAAAACTGCTGGTAAGGGGGTTTCGAGCTACTACGAGACTATCCCTGATATATCAAACCTGGATTCTCTGGATCTGTTTGATCCAATGTATCTCGAAGATATTGAAATACAAAACGAGGAAAATCTGTCTCTTACTATTCATAGGTAAAAAAAAATGATTAAAATTCTAAGAAAAGCCGAGACACAAAATTAGACATTTTAAACATTTAACTTTCTTTTTGTGTGTTCTTTTAAATTCTTTTTGTCCAAGGGTAGATTTTCTCAACATAATACGTTTCTTACAATATATAGACACTGGCGGAGCGGTTTGGGGTTCAAAATTTATATTATATTTCAGAGACTTTTTTTTTTTTCCAATTTTTTTTGTTTATTTTAGTGCTGATGTTGAACTAATGACTCCTACGCTTAAAAAATCCAAATCAAAGAAACCAAAACATTCTCCGAAACCGAAGTCCCGGAAGAAGGACGACCGGACGGAGACGAATGGAGATCGGAAGACCCTCCATGAGGTTCCTGCCCCCTGCTCCGGTTGCGGTGAGAGGTTGGAGACTAAGTTGTTGATGGAAAAACATAAAAAGGACTGTTCTACAAATAATATCATTTGCTCAATTTGTGATAAATCTTTCAGAACAGAAACACAGGTATTTTATTTTTAAGAAATTTGTTCGTTCTTTTAATTAAATAATCATTTTTTTTGGTTGAAGTTTCCGTCATAGATCTCGGCAGTTGATTAGGTACCGGATCCGATAGATCCGGATACAAGTGAAAAAAAGACCGCCAAATTATGAAGAAAATCCCCCCTTTTTTTGCTCTTAAAACCCTAATTTTGATTTTTAAAATATAAGAGATATAACATCATGTTTTCTGAATGGTTAATTAATTTTTTTAAAAACTAAAAATAACGAAATTTATTTTAAAACTTCTACTAATCCATTTTTTTAATAAAAATTAAACAGATCATATTCCTGACCACTGCGTCATGGTTTAAACTTGTTTAGTTATCTGCGCACACGGAGAAGGTTCACTCTGATGAACCCCGGAGTCTGAGTTGTCAGTTCTGTAATAAATCTTTCAAGAAAATATTCCAGCTTCAAAACCATCTCAGGGTTCATTCAGGGAGACAGGAGATCATTAATCCAGAGAAAATATTTCGGGTTTTATCATTTGTTTTCAATAACTTTTTATAGAATTATCAGTGAAATTGTCTTTAAATCTTTGGAAGCAAAATTAAAATGAGTATTCGATCTTTTAACTCTTTGAATACTTATCCAAAAATAGTTTAGTTTACTAGACGGTTAACTTCCGGCCTAAAATATTGGGGAAATATGTGTTTGTTTTTTCCTGAAAGCATTTATCAATTTTTAATCGAAAAGTATTGATAAGAGTTACCGGTAAAAAAAACAAATGAAATTTTGACGAGAAAAAAAGCTCTACCCCNCCCCCAACCTCCCAATTTTTTTGTTACACCTATGCACTTAATTATTTCCTATTTTATACTTTTTTCTTCTTAAATCCTGTTAATCGTATTCAGGAGAGAGACCATTTATTTGTCACACGTGCGGGAAAGCATTTAATCAGGAGGCAACTTTGAGAACACACTTGAGAATTCATACAGGGATGAAACCTCATGTTTGTGGAGACTGCGGGGAGTCATTTATTACAGGTTTTTTTCTATTTTTCTCAAGTTAAATCATGTTATATTATTTTTTTTCTTATGAAATCGTAAACGTTTTGGTATTGCGTTTTTTAGGAGAACATGACGCTATAACTGGTGGTTATTTTTTTTTTATTTTCAAGAGACAATTAATTATTTGTTGTTAAAATTCTATAACCATGTATTTTTAATAATGTACAAAGTAAACATTTTTAGAAATATAAAATATAAAAGTAATAAAATTAATCAATCGAAATATTTCAAAAACATGATTTTATCTTTACTTCTGAAAATTAGTTTATAGATACAGAATCCTTATCGACCTCTAAAAATATTTAGGTTTTAAATGCTTTTTTAGAAGACGATAAATCTGTAGATAATTCTGTTTGAAATATAAAATTTAATAGCATGGACAAAAAACTGAAGTGTTAGCTACAAACACAAATATAATCCCTATACCTTTGCAACTTGATGGTGTAAATTTTGATATTTCAAACTTACATTATTTGATCTAACAGAATTCATAGTATAAAATATTTAAGGTCTATAACATCCAAACAAAACCATAAATCAGATTGCATAAAAATAGGGATTATAAAATCGGAGTTTGTGGTGAAAACTCATTTTTAATAAATATTTTAATCAGGGAATTCCCTTCTCTCTCACAAGCAGTGGAAGCATACTGATGGAAGCCGACCCTTCCTCTGCTCCTTCTGCTCCAAAAGTTTCCCGACGAAGGGAGCCGTCAAGAAACATGAAACTATTCATAAAACAGAGAAGAGACATTCTTGTGATTTGTGTGATAAAGTGTTTGCGCGGTCTGATCATCTCAAATCACACGTGAGATCTCACCAAAACTATGATAAGCCTAAGATTAAGCTGGACGAGGATGTCAAATATAAAATCACCGCTAGCGGCAAAACTGTCTGATTAAGAGTAAAACAATTTTTTACAATATTTTTTTTACAAAATGTATTTATTTATAAATATTATTTATTTCAGATTACAAGATAAGACATGAGTTGTTTTATCAAAATGAGGTGAATCTTAAGGGAGGAGCTAACTTTCTTTTAAGGTAAAATAATATTTTAAATTCCTAGAACTTTGTTTTTAGACGCTAGATATAAGTTTCTAGTTCCTTTACTTTTTAATGTAGTTTCTAGATTCTTAAATCTAGTTTCTAAGACTCTTGAATCTAGTTTCTAGATTCTTAAATCTAGTTTCTAGATTCTTAAATCTAGTTTCTAGATTCTTAAATCTAGTTTCTAGATTCTTAAATCTAGTTTCTAGATTCTTGAATCTAGTTTTTAGACTCATGAATCTAGTTTCTAGATTCTTGAATCTAGTTTGTAGAATCTTGAATCTAGTTTCTAGATTCTTGAGTCTAGTTTCTAGAAAATCTAATTTCTTGATTCTTGAATATAGTCTTTAAATTCTAATTTGTTTAGATGTATAAGAGTTCTTGTTCATTCTATTTTGTTTAGATGTATGAAGATTTCTTGTTTATTCTATTTTGTTTAGATGTATGAAGATTTCTTGTTTATTCTATTTTGTTTAGATGTATGAAGAGTTCTTGTTTTTTCTATTTTGTTTAGATGTATGAAGAGTTCTTGTTTATTCTATTTTGTTTAGATGTATGAAGAGTTCTTGTTTATTCTCTTCTGTTTAGATGTATGAAGAGTTCTTGTTTATTCTATTTTGTTTAGATGTATGAAGAGTTCTTGTTTATTCTATTCTGTTTAGATGTATGAAGAGTTCTTGTTTATTCTCTTCTGTTTAGATGTATGAAGAGTTCTTGTTTATTCTATTTTGTTTAGATGTTTGAAGAGTTCTTGTTTATTCTATTCTGTTTAGATGTATGAAGATTGAAGAGTTCTTGTTTATTCTATTTTGTTAAAATGTACATATAAAGAGTTCATGTTTATTCTATCATATTTAGATGTATGAAGAGTTCTTGTTTATTCTATTTTGTTAAAATGTAAGAGTTATTGTTTATTCTATCTTGTTTAGATGTGTGAAGAGTTCTTGTTAAAATGGAACGATTATCAGTCCTCATTCTCTGCTATGATGCAGAGTATTTGTCTCAAGGATCGTCTTCTTACAAAACTTATTTTTGTTTTCTCTTAATTGTTATTTTATTCCTTTTAATCGGAGTTGGTTTGTGGGAGGAGGGTTCACTGGAAAATACTGGGGCGTAACTTTAGGGAGTGGCCAGCTTCTAGCTTTTCTTTCAATTTTTTAAGAATATGTTTTTAAATTACAATTTAAAGAACGATTTTACACAAACCAGACAAAGATTATTTGTTTTTAAAGACAGAGGTTTGCTTCAAAAAACTATTGGTCGGACCAATTACATGTCACATTGCTGATATTCCACGAATCTTGAAACCCCATATTTTCCCTGAGTTTTGAACGAAGATGATTCAGGAGGAGATGACGGACTGTACAATATCTAATGGGTCAACCTCCTTCTATGCTCATAGGTGGGCTTATCATGTTTATAACGTATGCATGTAAAAGTANTTTTAGAGTTCCAGGGGGGGCTAAGTCCCACTAGCCCCCTCCTGAATACGACGTTGACTAGAAAGCATATTTTTGATTGAATAAAGCCATTTCATTGTGTTTAAGCATTAAAGGAATTGAATCTTTGCCACAAACTCTGATTTTTTAATCACTAAATCTTTGCAACCCAATGTCGTAGGCCTTAGATATTTTAAACCAAGAATTGTGTTAGTTTTAATACTATAAGTTTAAAATATCAAAGGTTTACACAATCAAGTTGCAAAGCTATGAGGATTAGAAAGTTTGAGTTTGTTATAAAGACTCAATTCCTTTGCTTGACTTGATGAAACCTGTTTATTTTATAGGATGGTTCTCTCCACGTGTTCTCCGTACTTTAGAACTCTTTTCTCTTCCGTCCCACACAATCAACATCCGGTCATATTTGTTAAAGATATAGAGGTAGATGATGTTAATTACAGGCCCCAACAAGAAAAAATACCATTCAGTGACCCTACAGTATAAGATGGGCATGTCCGATTCATAGCGGTACCTTTAAACATTTATAGTAAGAGAAACCACTATAGAAAATGACCAAAAAAATTCATGGATATCTCATTAATTCATAATAATTAGCTTTTAAGGGCACCGCGCCTTGTGAATCGGACATGCTCTACTCTTTACAAGGAGAGTCACTTGAAATTATGTCTACAGAGCTTTAAACTTTAGAATCTGATATCCTTAATCCCGATCTGTTCATTAATCTGGAGATTAAATTCATGAGGACAACAAGCAATATTTAATCTGGAGATTAAGAAAAAGAGTGGATCAAGCATTAATCCCGATATCCACCATTCTAAAGTTCCCAGCTCTGTTCATTTAATAAATTTTATAATTGGTTTTTAAAACTTTCAAAAATAGATTTTTTTTTCATAGAAAACCTTTCGATATGTTTCAAAATATTGATTTTCTTTCTCAGAGATTTTTTCCCCTCAATCCAGAGAGATGATTTAATTTTATTCTAAATCAATATCCGAAATTTGAATTTTTTCTTCAGGATGGAATTGTAGAACTCTTGGTTCGATATATGTACAGTGGGCAGGTTAGTGTCTCCGAGGACCAGATTATCCCCCTCGTACACGCCGCCAAGAGTCTCTCCATCAAGGGACTCCTTGACGTCCCGGTTCCTCATCAGAACACGGAGAAGAACCTTCAACCTCCGGCCTCGAAGAAACCAAAGACCAACCCTGTGAGAACGGTGGAGGACAAGTCGGAGGATATTGTAGAGGCTGATGTTAAGCCGAGGAAACACAACAACTCAGTTCCTGTTGTTTGTGTAGAGGATGAGGATGAGGAGGAGGAGGAGGGGGAGGATAGTGTAGAGAATATCAGCTCGGACTCAGACCTTATAAACCAAAATGTAAGATGAATTGAATATAATTACATTTTTAATTTTGCTACTGTTTTAAATGGATTCTTCAAGGGTGAAAAAATTGTTGGAATAGTTCTCCCAGCTTATAGGGGTGTATATTCTGTCGAAAAATCATTACCCCCCCTTTTTTTAAAAATCCTATTTTTCCCCAGAAGTTATATATGCTTACGGGGAGGTCAACATTGTTTTTATTGTTTTATTTTCTGAATTGGGGAACTTTAATGAATTGTTAGGTAAAAGGCATTACAAAATTATCAAAAAGAATAATTAAGGTTGCCTTTTGATGTCCAATTTTTCGTTTTTTCCCAAATTATCAAAAATCATACTGAAAAATAATGAAAAATATATACCCCTGAGTTCTTTATTTGACTGCAGTAGCATTAATATATTTATTCGGATATTTTCAGGAATTGCTTCAACGGCTGACAAGCGAGATGACCGCGTATCCTTTCCTGGCCGGTCGTTCTGGACCCCCGCTCTCCCCTCAGCGACAACCTGCCCTGTCCCCCCAGCAGCTGGTTGGATCCCTCCTCCCTCCCCAGCTAACCTTGTACTCCTGTGAGCACTGTGGGAAGGAGTTTACGTCCAAGCGAAAGCATCAGAGACATGTTTTAAATGTACATTTTGGGTAAGTTTCTGGTAAAGGAAATGGGTTTTTGTAACAAAATCTTATTTTGTAATTTTTATATCTTCTCAACCAAATGTCGTAGACCTTAGATATTTCAAACTATGCATTCTGTTAGATCAAATAGTGTTAGTTTGAAATATCAAAGGATTGCGCTATTTGGTTGAAAAGAAATAGAGGTTTAAAAAATTTGAGTTTGTGGAAAAGACTCAAATCCTTTGTGGGTGGCTTTTGAAAGATATTCTAGCTTTTAAGGGGTTTATGGAAGTTGTTGAAGGTTTATTATAAGTTTTGAATCATTTTTGAGTTACATTATTTAAATTTGTTTTATTGTCGGTTTTCAAGATTTGTTTAATAGGTTGTCTACTAGTCTAGGTTTATAGAAAATAGAAATAATCGAAAGAGATGAAATGTCGAAAGAGAAAGAGTATAAATTATGTTTATTTCAGTTAGAGATTAAAGAATATTAAAGAAATACGCATTTTCAAGAAAAGGAGAGTAAAGAGATTTATTGTTTAGATATAATCCGGTCCAGTGCCCGTTCTGCCAGAAGGGTCACCGTGATAACTACAACCTCAAGCAGCATGTTTGCCCGGTCATCAACATGAAGTACGGGCAGTTTGAGAAGAAGGATGATACAGAGAATGGTCGAGAATGTTCTGGAAACCAGGTCACATGACCGGCCCACCAGCTAGCGGGGTTCAGGATCAACACTTCCTAAACTCAGGGGGATTCTCTGCAGAAAAATTTAAAAGATTTTATTTTATAAATCTGCGTACGCTAGGTATAATGTAAACGGAATTTATTCATTTTGTGGAATTCCCGAAAACTGAAGATTTAAGATTTATTCACAGGTTACATAGATAGGACAAATTAGGTTGTCATTGTTTTATTTCGTTTATTCTAAACTTGTCATAGAATATTTACAGGTTAAAGGGACTGTCACCGTAATTTGAAGTGAATTTCCTTTTTTGTCTCTGCAACATATTTCCCTAATCCCTATCACTTCTATAGAGATACCACTAATGCAAAATATTAATTTACAGAAGAAACTTTTTTTTGTAATATTTGTGTTCAGACGAAGATTTAAAGAGTATCGTTGTGAATCGGATATGAAACTCTTTAAATAAAGGGTCACTTATATTTGTGTTGTCAGTCCCTTTAAATGTAAATGTGAACACTGATAGTATTACAATGATTATCTCTCTGGTTCTATCTGTCTAATCTGTGAAATATCGGCTGGGGTTTCGAATAGTATGATGTTATTTCTCTTTTTCGAGTTCAATTGTGCACGAATGTATTTTGCATGAACATTTTTTGTTGCTGTTTATTTTTTTGATACCAGTGATTTTTCTAGTTAATTTGATCCTAGTGGTCCTTAGCATACCAAAAAATATTGTAGATTTTATTTTATCAGAAACTTTGATTTTAGCTTATATTTAATTATTCTCAGATTTTACTTTTAAAGGGACAGACCGGCTATTTGAACTGAGAATGCAGTATTGTAGAGAAAAACTTTATGATTCATTTGATACCAATGAGACAATTCGTTAATTAGAGCGTAAAGTCGTTTGTAATATTTCACCAGTTGTTTCAGCCAATAGGAGAAACGATTTTTACAATTCTTAAATAAAATGGACAAAACGTGTAACAAATTTTATTCTACAAACTAGTTGCATGTATACAAACAGGTTGAGAACAATATTAAACTTCTATCATTGGAAATAAGTTATTAAAATTCATTTTAAAATCTCGCAGGTTGATGCCATTCTTTCACGTATGGTCGTTTGTTGGAGGTTTTCTTTATTTTATTTGTGATAACGATATTTTTAAGAAATCTGCGAAATACAAATTCAGAAACAGCAAAGGAAATTATCGATTCTACGATTCTGCATGGCTTTCATCGATAATTTATTTTAAGAAATATGTTCCTGAGCATAAAATTAGATTATAAATTATTTTTTTTACATGTTTTGTCCGGGTTATTAAATTATTGTAAAAATCGTTTCTTCTGCTGGCTGAAACAACTGGTGAAATATTACAACTAACGACTGGACGATCTTATTTAAGAGTTGTACACCGTAAAAATGTCTCATTGGTATCAAATGAATCCTATAGTTTTTCTCTACAATACTGCATTCTCAGTTTGAATATTACGTAGTCTCTCCCTTTAATGGAAAGGTTTACGAAAAATGAAGGGAAGGATTCACATTTCACATTATTGAAAAAATCGGGATTTTTTTTAATTACTCCTTTTAAACCGAAGCTAGGAACAAGCGTTTTTCAGTTTTAAAATCTCTACCAACAGGGCTACAAAAAACATGAGGTGGCCAGTCACAATAGCTTTCAGCACTGTAGTTTTATCGTTTCTATTTTAATTTCTTCAATATTTTTCTAAGAAAAAAAAATTTACAAAAAAACATCCTCTAATTCTCTGACAGTGCTGCGATTCAAACGTTGCCGTACAAGGTTAATTTTACAGAGACACCCCTCAATTGGATTCTTTGAGAACCATTCCTGTCAAAGTTTCATTACAGAAATATCAAACAGATATTAAGAATGCAACCATATCGATTCATGTAATACATCCAAATCTTCCTTTCATTTTTCTTTATGCCTTCCTTTATGCTGCTATCTGCATTTATATTCCTGTGATGTTTCATACACGTTTAACCTTGACTAGTCGAATAGAAAAATTTATTTCGCAAATATAAAATTTAATATGATTATAAAACAATTTGAAATTTTTTAATATCTATTTAGCTAAACTTTACTAAATTTTACTTGGAACAGCATTTAGTTTTTAACATTGTAATGCTTAAAAACACATATATCTAAATTTAATAGTTTTTTAATATTTGTTATTGTTTCGCGTTTATTTAGGTTATAAAAATGGAAACAAATTTTATTATTGTACAAAGTAGATTTTATGATTTTTGTTTCGTCAATATAATTTTTATTTTTATTTTATTCTGTTTTGTTTTGTTAGTTTGTTTCGTAATTTAGGTGAATTGTATTAGGCGAGTTAACGCATGATTATGATTCTTATTTTGGGACAAATTCAGATTTTCTCATTCATATATCTTCACAGCATAATGTCAGATATCTCATACATTCTGTTAGATCAAATAATCGAATTATAAGAGGACATATCAGACTCTGGACCGCTTATCCATCTGACAAGGAGCTAAACTGGTTACTTGTGTCTTGTTTATGCATATTGTACTAGCAAGCGCTAAATAAACCTTTATATATGAGATATTATATATAAGCAAGCACTGAATAAACCTCTATATATGTTATATCATATAAGAAATACCAGTGTATGCGTAAACACAATTTTATGACCCATCTGACAAGAAACTAAAATGGTGTCTTGTATCTTGTTTATGCATATTGTATTAGCAAGCGCTAAATAAACCTCTATAGCATGAGATATCATATATAAGCAAGCACAGTAATACAAGTGTATGCGTAAACACAATTTTATGATCCATCTGACAAGAAACTAAACTGGTGTCTTGTGTCTTGTTAAAGCATATTGTATTAGCAAGCGCTAAATAAACCTTTATAACCTCTATAGCATGAGATATCATATATAAGCAAGCACAGTAATACAAGTGTATGCGTAAACACAATTTTATGACCCATCTGACAAGAAACTAAACTGGTGTCTTGTGTCTTGTTAAAGCATATTGTATTAGCAAGCGCTAAATAAACCTCTATGTATGAAATATCATATATAAGCAAGCACAGTATTCGATAAAGAAATTGAGTCTTTGCCACAAACTTGGATTTTCCCATCCCTATATCTTGTTAACCTGAGGACAAAAACTTTTGATATTACAAACTTAGTTTTTTTGATCTAGAAGAATTCACAGTTTGAAATATCTAAGGTCTACGACATTAGGTTGAAAAGACATAGAGATTAGAAAATCTGAGTTTGTGGCAAAGACTTAATTCCTGTATTGACTTGTTTAAAATATAAAAGTTTTAAAATATTTTCCTATATAAGAATCATCTTAACAGGTTGGAAAATAAAAAGTACTATTGATTGTTAAAGGTGATCATGATCATAGGGAACAGCTGGAGCTTCATGTTGGTAGTATGCAGGTCAGCATACACTGGTATTATGTAAATAATACCAGTGTATGCTAATGATCTTTAATCCTGGATCAAAAAAGTTGTTCAATTCATGCATACACTTGTAATCAAGGAATGAGACAATGAGACATTGAGACATAAGGACGCCAGTTTTTATGGTTAAAAAAATGCTTACGCATACACTAGTTTTATGCAAATGAGACGATAAGACACTAATAAACCTCTATTTCTGAATCAAAAAATGTGTGCACTGTATATGCAAACGCTTGTATTTGAACAATGAGAGAATGAGACATTGAGACGTCTGTATACGTACATAGCAAGAAATGATACATAACACATTGAAAAGTGTGTACATATATAAGCATACGCTTTTTTATAGGAAAAGACAATGAGACATTAAGACACCTGTTTTCAAGGTTTAAATAAAACTATGCTTATGCATACACCAGTATTATACAAATGAGACGTTGAGACACTAAGACACCTCTATTCTTGGATCAAAAAAGTTGTTCATATGCATAGAGGTTCATTTAGCGCTTGCTTAAACAAGACACAAGACACCATTTTAATGTCTTGCCAGATGGATAAAAAAAATTGTGTTTACGCATGCACTGGTATTACTGTGCTTGTTTGTAATAAGCATATGCATAAATCACATGCTATTGAGGTTTATTTAGTGCAAGACACCATTTTATTTTCTTGCCAGATGGATAATGGCCTTTGTAAACCTTTCATATTTCAAACTTTAACAATTTCATCTTGTAGAATTTATCAAATTAAGGAATTTATCACAAAGCTTTGGAACTTTGAAAACTTTGACGATTTAAACAAAGAATTGGATCTAGACGGATTTGGTGTTTGTAATATGAAAGGAATGAAGTTTTAGCAACAAACTCAAATTTTCTAATTCTTATATTTTTTAAACCTGATAAAGGTAACCATTGATATTTCAAACTAATATTGCAGAGCTTATAGAATTCATATTTTCAAAAATATCTAAGCTCTATAACATTGGGTTTCAAAGGTATAAGGATTAGAAATTCTGAGTTTGTGGCAAAGACTCAATTCCTTCCTGGAAAAGTGCGTGTCCGAAATTCATATATTAATTTACACGACATCAAGAACAAGAGGAGATTAGCAGTGAGGAAAGAACTCATTAAATACGTTTAAAAATGCCCAGCTCAGAACTTCTGGTTTTAAAGGGAGTGTTCGCGAAAAATGAAAGGGGGTATAGGTTTACGGCGAAAAAAAAGCGCTTTTGATCGCTACTAATCTTACTTCTATCTGTTGCGTCTATAAAGAAAAAGTTGTTAAAAACGACTTGTATATCGGAGAACGTAGCAGCCATACAAATTCAGAAAGTTGCAACATTCAACTCGGATCGTAAAATAATTTAATTCCAAACAAATCATTCAAATGGTGCCATGACAAACTCCTGAAAGACAAACTCATGAAAATACAAACTCCTGAAAGACAAACTCCTGAAATTATGATTCTCTGAATGAAATATGATAAAATTCATAAACTTTAGGAGAAAAAATCCGCAAATATCTTAGAAAAAATTCTCAATCTTTAGTAATTTGAATATGCTTCAAGCAGCAAAGTATTACAATGATCAGAATAATTAAAATAGAATATAATTTAGATTTTAATTTTTTTTAGACACTAAGACACCTGTTTTCAAGGTTTAAATAAAACTATGCTTATGCATACACCAGTATTATACAAATGAGACGTTGAGACACTAAGACACCTCTATTCTTGGATCAAAAAAGTTGTTCATATGCATAGAGGTTCATTTAGCGCTTGCTTAAACAAGACACAAGACACCATTTTAATGTCTTGCCAGATGGATAAAAAAAATTGTGTTTACGCATGCACTGGTATTACTGTGCTTGTTTGTAATAAGCATATGCATAAATCACATGCTATTGAGGTTTATTTAGTGCAAGACACCATTTTATTTTCTTGCCAGATGGATAATGGCCTTTGTAAACCTTTCATATTTCAAACTTTAACAATTTCATCTTGTAGAATTTATCAAATTAAGGAATTTATCACAAAGCTTTGGAACTTTGAAAACTTTGACGATTTAAACAAAGAATTGGATCTAGACGGATTTGGTGTTTGTAATATGAAAGGAATGAAGTTTTAGCAACAAACTCAAATTTTCTAATTCTTATATTTTTTAAACCTGATAAAGGTAACCATTGATATTTCAAACTAATATTGCAGAGCTTATAGAATTCATATTTTCAAAAATATCTAAGCTCTATAACATTGGGTTTCAAAGATATAAGGATTAGAAATTCTGAGTTTGTGGCAAAGACTCAATTCCTTCCTGGAAAAGTGCGTGTCCGAAATTCATATATTAATTTACACGACATCAGGAGCAAGAGGAGATTAGCAGTGAGGAAAGAACTCATTAAATACGTTTAAAAATGCCCAGCTCAGAACTTCTGGTTTTAAAGGGAGTGTTCGCGAAAAATGAAAGGGGGTATAGGTTTACGGCGAAAAAAAGCGCTTTTGATCGCTACTAATCTTACTTCTATCTGATGCGTCTATAAAGAAAAAGTTGTTAAAAACTACTTGTATATCGGAGAACGTAGCATCCATACAAATTCAGAAAGTTGCAACATTCAACTCGGATCGTAAAATAATTTAATTCCAAACATATCATTCAAATATTACAAACAATAGTCATCGATTATTTTCGACACATTCGGATATAGTTAATATTTCATAATATTTTTTTTTCTGTAAATATAAAAATCTCGTCTTCATTATCAAAATCCTCGAAAGAGGAATACATGTTTTCCAAAGTAACTCTCAGATCATGAAAAATAAAAAAATGTTTTGCAATATCAACTATATACAAGTGCGTCGAAAAATAATCGATGACTATTGTTTGTAATATCTGAATGATTTGTTTGGAATTAAATTCATTTGTTTACGATCCGAGTTGAATGTTGCATCTTTCTGAATTTGTATGGATGCTACGTTCTTCGGTATAAGTTGTTTTTAACAATTATCTCCTTTTGACGCAACATATAGAAGTAAGATTAGTAGCAATCAACTTATTTTTCGCCGTAAGCCTANTTAAAACCAAATCTTTGTTTTATAGACTTATATTCACACCTTTTAACATTTTAACTTAGCTTGGCTTTATTAAATCTCGCTTTGTGCTAAGTTTTATACAAATAATTAGCCATTTTTCAATTTCATTAGATTATTTAAGTAAAAACTCGCTGTAGAACTAGCCTGTGTTTTTGCTAATGTTTTGTATACACCATTCCATGAGGTCAACTGGTAAAGTCCCGGGTAAAAATGTTTTTACAAAAAAAGTGAAGTAAAAAAACTAGAAAAAAGTCCGAAAATATTTAAAGCACGCATAACTGCGGTGTACATTCAAATATCCGAGCTGGGCCAACCTTTACGGTCCTGGTTTGGACTGTCCTGACTTCAGGCTGCTTCTATTTGAACTTACATTCACTACAGAGTGAAAAGACCGTAAACGTCATTTTAAAAAAGTCATTGAAAATCAAGTCTTATTCTTCTTAATCGAGGACTCTCCTTTCGGATAAAGACTTTGAATAAAAATCATGACTTTATTTCCTTCAAATATTTCGTAGTACAAAACTCCTCCTCCTGGTGGTAGAAATTGGGACTTTTTCTATTTACTTTCTTATTGTGACTTAAATGGATATGTGATCACTAGGCATGTACCAGCAGAGCTAATATAAAGTTGTACAACATGTATCTGTGTTGAATGTGGACTGCACTGTACTGCCCAGGATATAAAAATAGTTGATCATGTACTTTATCACTTGCCTACCAAACATGAGATAAATTTTAAACATGAAGCATAGCAAGCAAAGCTAATGTAGCAATTGTACTAATCAATGTATGTTTAATGTACAATGTACTATATACTGGAATTTTACTGCCCAAGACATAAAAATGTTTTATCGCGTACACTAATGTCCAAAAAATACCATACACTGTGTCTGTGTTCAATGTGGACTGTACTGCACTGTACTTTGGAAGATATGAAAATGCTTGATTGTGTACTTTACAAATGCCATGTACTGTAGTGTACAAAATATGTATAACATGAACATTGAACATATGAAGCGAAGCAAGCAAAGCTAATACAACAATTGTAATAATTAATCTTTATTTCATGTACAGTATACTCTTTACAGCAGAAGGACTAATATAAAATTGTACAAAATGAATCTGTGTTTACTGTTAACTGTACTGCACTGTTCTGCGCAGGATATTAAAATGTTGTAAATTTATATTTTCAGACAAATCTTTAAAAGAGTGTATCATGGTTTTGGAAATGAAAATATCCCCGGAAGCTGTGACGAAGGTGGAACGGTTTCTTGTAACGGATAGGTGGGTGCTGAGGCCGTTCTTTCCATAAACTACATAGGTCGACAACTTGATGTCTCCTATATTGGTCGTCAAGTGTACGGAGAAATATTATCACATAAGAATTTAGTATGAGACATCTAGCGGCCAACATATCGTCCCCCAAAGTACGTGAACTACACGACCACTTTCTATGGAGAGAACGGGCTCTGGATAAAAGGATTTGAGAATATTTATCAGAAATCTACGAGTTTAAATTACTAGGCTTTTAGGGCGCTTATATAGATTTAAGGGACTGTAACATGTATATAGATTTAAGGGACTGTAACATGTAAGTGACCCTCCATGCAAAGATGGCAAAGCCCAATTTAAAACGATACCCTTATAATACGTTGTTTGATAAACGATACCCTTATAATACGTTGTCTGATAAAGCATGAATTAGATATCCATGTTTTGCGTTTTTAAACTGTTTTTTGTGGTTTCTGTGTTTAAGTGACTTGTAAAATTCTTGCTAATTAGAAACAATCGAGAAATTATTAGAATTAAACAATTTGCTGTTAAGAAACGACGTTGTCTTCCACATTTTGATTAGAATCATGTTTCAAAGGTATAGAGAGTGACATAAATTACGCTTACAGTCCCTTTAAGATTAAAAGCTAAGGGCATGGTGGGATGGGAGGTATTTATTTAATTTACTACTTTTTGTATAATTTTTCCGTTTGCCACAAAAAAATGTGATGTAGAGTAAGAGCACCAATTGGATAACTTTTTGGTTAACTTTAATTCTAATTTTTAACAGTCTTGTCTATTACAGAGGTAAAATATATACTTTTCTGTAATCTTCAATCGGAACATCAACTAGAGGGTTATAATATATAATACTAGCTGAAGAGCCCGGCGTTGCCCGTGGAAAAAAAATTTGAAATTTTTTAGCCTATAACTGATAACCATGGGTTCCCTAAATTTGATATTTCAAACTTTGATTATTTGATATAACACAATTTACAGTTTTAAAAGTCTGAGGTCGTTGGGTTGCAAAGATATAGGGTTTAGAAAACTTGAGTTTTAAGTAAACTGAAAATAAAAAATAAAAATATTTAATCATCTAGTTAAATGTTTTTTGTTTAGTTACCGTGAACTAGCAGAGAGTGCTATGTCGTTCAACCGACGGTTAAATGAGGAGAGGAAAATGAGAATACCGTACATAGATGGACAGGTACATAAACACCATATATCGTACATAGATGGAGAGGTACATAAACAATATATATAGTACATAGATGGACAGGTACATAAATAATATAAACTGTACATAAATGGACAGATACATAAACACTTTATACTGTACACTGTACATAGAGGTATGTAACAAATATCATAGTAAACCCTATATTTGTGAACCAGAACATACCTATATTACGTTGTACATTGTAACCCAACTACGCCTGTAAATAACAACATCAAACCTGTATTGTGATTAGCTTAACTACGCTTGAATATAACGACGCACAACTTGTAATTACGTTCCTTAACCTGCAACATAGAATTCAAAATATAACTCAGTTGGAACAATACTCCGCTTTGATTACGGTCTTAGAATAATTATATTCCTCATGTATAGCGAGAGGGACCTGAGCTTGGAGTCTTGAAAGATAGATATAGACTAGAGAATACTGATAGAGTCATATTCAGTTTGATATTGACAAAGTATTGTTGAATGGAATTGTTTGTGATTCATTTTCATATATATATTTCATATTTTTATTCAACTACAAAGCATGAGATATTACAACTAAGCAATCACAATTTACTATGCAGTTTGGACCCGCCTAACCAGGGTTGGTTGTTTTGAGTGGTTGGCCCGAATTTAATTGACGATACTGAATATAATTGGTTACACATATCAAGATTTGTTTTGGATAGGTAAGGATTTTATTGGAAGGAAAGAGATTGTAAGGTGATCTGTGGCAGGGTGAGATCAGAGGGATTTTTATGTAGAGATAAATTTAAAATACTGGGTGTTAATGATGGTTGTTACAGAAACAGAAATAAGCTAATAAAGTTTCAGTTATTTTAGTTTTTTTATATAAATTTATTCACACGATATACAGATAGGTTTTTCTTATTTAAACCTCTCATAATTCTCAAGATAAATATTGATTACTCTTTCTTTGAATATTTGAATTGCTTTGTATCTTGTAAGACAGATACCTGAGAATACCGATAGAGTTGTATCAGACTAGAGTATTATTGAACAGAATAGTTTGTGATTGAATAGTATCTTGTAATTAGACAGATACCTGAGAATAGTTCATGATTGAGTTGTATCTTGTAAGATAGATACCTGATAGAGAATACTGATAGAGTTGTATCAGACTACAGTATTATTGAACGGAATATTTCGTGATTGAGTTGTATCTTGTAAGACAGATACCTAAGGATACGGAACGCTATACCTGAATTGGTACCGATCTTAAAGACTTTGTTGGAGTAGGGCATTTACTACAGGTCCACATACACTTTATATTCTACACTGGACAAAGATAGACACTAAAAAGCCACTAGTTACAATTTACGTAAACAATTTTCACTGTATACTGTACATAAATAGACATGGTTAGTATGTACGTAAACATTTGATACTGTATATCGGACAAAAATGAGAAATTTCACTAATACTTCATACTGTAGCTTACACCATACCGAGAGGGACCCTTTGTACTGGTACAATGTACATAGCCGTACAAGGAGACCCCCAAAATACAAAGAATTAAAATTTTGAAGAGCAGAAGATGATTTGAAGAAAGGACTGATCAATAAGTCGCATTTTGTATCTTTTTTTTATCATTTTTATCTCTTCTGAAATATCTAAACGTTTAATTTTATCAGTTTTCTATGAACGCCCATTTCTAGACTGGTGTTGCGCAGAAACATTACAACGCTGAACGGAAAGCTAGAGAACGAATGCCAGGGAGAACTCATGGTCAAATATACTCCTACCCACAGAACAGGTATACTCCTACCCATAGAACAGGTATACTTCTACCCACAGAACAGGTATAGTCCTACCCACAGAACAGGTATACTCCTACCCACAGAACAGGTATACTCCTACCCACAGAACAGGTATACTCCTACTCACAGAACAGGTATACTCCTACCCACAGAACAGGTATACTCCTACCCTCATAACAGGTATACTTCTACCCACAGAACAGATATACTCCTACCCTCATAACAGGTATACTTCTACCCACAGAACAGGTATACTCCTACCCACAGAACAGGTATACTCCTACGCTCATAACAGGTATACTTCTACCCTCATAACAGGTATACTTCTACCCACAGTACAGGTATACTTCTACCCACAGAAGGGGTATACTCCTACCATCAGAACAGGTATACTCCGATAACCTTCTACCCACAGAACATGATTACTCCTATCCTCAGAACAGGTATACTTCTACCCAAAGAACAGGCATACTTCTACCCAGAGAACAGGCATACTTCTACCCAAAGAACAGGTACCCTGAGAACAGGTATACTCCTAGGCTCATAACAGGTATACTCCTAGCCTCATAACAGGTATACTCATACTCACAGAAAAGGTATACTCCTACCCTCATAACAGATAAACTCCTACCCACAGAAAAGGTATTCTCCTACCCTCATAACAAGTATACTTCTACCCTCATAACAAGTATACTCCTACCCTCAGAACAAGTATACTTCTAGCCACAGAACAGGTATACTCCGACCCTCATAACAGGTATACTTCTACCCACAGAACAGGTACACTCCTACCCACAGAATAGGTATACTCCTACCCTCATAACAAGTATACTCCTACCCTCATAACAGGTATACTCCTACCCTCATAACAAGTATACTCCTGCCCTCATAACAGGTATACTTTTACCCACAGAACAGGTATACTCCTACCCACAGAAAAGGTATACTCCTACGCTCATAACAGGTATACTCCTGCCCACAGAATAGGTATACTCCTACCCTCATAACAGGTATGCTTCTACCCACATCTTTTTATCTTTTGCTTTCAAGTTCAAATCTGCAATCTTTTACTGCATTGAGAAAATGTGGAAGAAAGACAAGAATGTTTGAGAAAAAATTTACTCAAGAATAACAATTTTGTTTAGGTGGAGGAAAAAGAGATATCAATACCTTCAGTACTTTATGCAGCCCAGACATCTCAGGTCAAATTTTTATTTTAAGGAAAGGGAATTCAGAGCGCTACTTGCCATGATTTTAGAGGGGCGTACGAGGGGGGCTGCATTGGATACACGTGCCCCCTACGGGTGCCCCCCCTGGGAGGGGGGGTACGCATAAAGGGGTCTGATATATGAAAGGATTTTAAATGATGTGGGGAAAAAATGAAAATTTCAGCATCTAAAACCCTAAAAATTGTTGTGATATTCCGCGGGAACAAACCTAACTTCTGTAGAAAAATATGATTTTTGATGAACTGGAGAGAGAAAAGCTTGATATCAAAAGGCATGTTTTTATTCTTTTTATTACAATTCATATCCAAATATTCAGCAAATAAAACCCTACACATTTTTTTGCTTCTCCGCTGAAGCATATCTAATTTCAGTGGGAAAATTATTTTTGAAAGGCGAAAAGATTTTTCAAGTTTTTGCAACAAACTCAAATTTTCTAATTTTCTTTGAAACCTAATGGTTATACCTTGTTTTAAGCTTAGAATTTCTCATAGTTGATGGAATTCATAGTTTGAAATACCAAAGATCTACGACATCGAGTTGCACAGATTTAGGGATTATAAGTTTAGAGTTTTTAGCAAAATCTCATTTCCTTTACAACTCTGATATATAATCAACAAATATATGTTCTAAACCAAGCAAAGACTGATTATAAAAGATATACGGCAAGAGCGTACATAGAAATAAATCTAGAGGGGCCAATATGCGCGAAGCGCAAANGTGAGGCAAAATTTGAACTGTAAATTCAAAACATTTGGCTTCTTGGATATCATAAAGGTACACAATACACATACAATCCAACTACCTTACAAGAACTACTTTATCTCTCCTTCAAACAAAACTAGCAGAAAAAAAAACAGCAAACTAATTTTTTTATGTTATTCACTCTTCAGTTTTAGAATTAAAAGTGTGATAGCTCTGATTTCTAGGGGGGCACTACCCCCTTGCCTCCCCCCTGTGTACGCCCTTGATATACGATTCTTTAATATAGATAAAAACTAATCAGACATTTTGTCAAAATAAGGGCTTTTAAGGGGGGGGACACAAAATTTTCTAGGGGTGCACACAAAAATCATGAAATGCCCTCCCTACACTACACATACGCCTCTGTGCTTTATTAGCATCTGAATGTGATTATATATATCTTCATTAAAAGTTCCAATTTTGGCATATTTACATTTCCCCTAAAATAAATAAGAAAATGGTTTTTGAAAATTTTCAAAACTTAAAAAAAATTGTTTTTAAATATTTATTCAGGTTTGAGCCTGATTGTGGTTCTCTTAATGTTTCTAAAGTTGAACCTACCGGAGTAATTGCGGAGGAAACCATCCTTAAACTAGATACGGAGAAGGTTAGAATAAAATAAGTTCTAAATTGGAACCTACCGGAGTAATTAAAGATGTAACTATCCTTAAACTAGATACGGAGAAGGTTAGAATAAAATAAGTTCTAAATTGGAAACTACCGGAGTAATTGCGGAGGAAACCATCCTTAAACTAGATACGGAGAAGGTTAGAATTTAATAAGGTCTAAAGTTGAACCTATCGGAGCAGGACCTAGGATACCATCATTAAACTAGATACGGAGAAGGTTAGTATTTTGAAAGATCTTAAGTTGAATCTATCGGGGTAATAAAACAGGAAACCATCCTTAAAGCTGGATACGGAGAAGGCTAGACGATATATATTTACATAAATCATATGTTTAGAACGAATAATGGTGTAGAATGTATGAAGACGATATATTACATAAATCATATGTTTAGAACGAAGAATTGTTTAGAATGTATGAAGACGATATATTTACATAAATCATATGTTTAGAACGAAGAATTGTTTAGAATTTATAAAGACGATATATTTACATAAATCATATGTTTAGAACGAATAATGGTGTAGAATGTATGAAGACGATATGTTTACATAAATCCATATATATTCTTTTCTCTATGCATAAATCATATGTTTAGAACGAAGAATGGAGTGGAATGTATGAAGACGACTTTCCAATACCTGAACCTGAGGATGATGCACAGGCAGATATATTCAAACAAAATCCAAAATTTTCTTGATTTAAACTTTAAGTATAAATGCTCGCCAGGCACATGCACTTTAATATTATCTACTACAGTGAAAGCAAAAAAAAATGTGAACAGATTGTCGTCTTCATTCTTACTTTAGATTACAAGTCCCGCCATAAAGTGTTTGATTTGTAACTGTCATAACTAAAATAACTTTAATATCCAGATGTATAGATATTTGTAACATGTTACAAGTTACAAACTAAATGAAAAGTTGGTGCGATAAGACAATCATTCTGGCGTTTATTAGTTATTACTTTATCTAGTTCTCCACATCCATTTCTAACACTTGCAATGAAATCTTGATTTAGTTAATTTGGTAGGTTTGAACTATTATATTAATCTTTCTTGTAATTCTGAATGGTTTAGAAAGTTTTGGAATACATTAAAGTTTGAATTTAATCTGCAGGAGTCAGATTCTGATTTTGAGTTTGACGGAGTTAGGATAAAGAAAACTAAAGGACGGAAGATGACGAAAACAAAGTCCACCAAACCCAATCCAACACCGCCGAAGGTGAAAGATGTAAGTATCGTTAAAAAACTTAACACCTATTTTATTTTCAGAGATCAAATAAAATTTGAATCTATGAATTTGTAAACCCGAAAACTCCTCTTATGAAAATAAGTTAATATGTATTTAAAATATATACAGTGAATCCCAGATATATGAAAATGTCGTATTACATATTTAAGATCAAATGCCGCGAAAAAATGAGTTTAAAATTAATATATCAATTGCATTCATATTCTAGGGCTATATTAAAGTCATTTTTCCGCGGCATTTGATCTTAAATTATGTAATACGACATTATAAAAAACTCTTGCTATGTATTCATATATCTGGGATTCACTGTTCAAGACTCTAGAATTGTAGTATATTTAGTATAATTAAAAACAAGTTAAGTAATAAAAAAATTATCAGTTGGATCTAACAATGAGTGTAGAGTGTACAAACCACAAAGTACAAATACACCTGCTGAGCATTTAGAATAAATTGAAAGAATTTAAGTGTTGTGTTTTAGGGAACAAAATGAATCAACAAACTTAAAAAGATTAAAATCAAATAGTACAAATGATTGCTTCCGAAAGGACTATTCTTGTAATAAATACTGTAAATGCCAACCTATTTTCAAGACGTTGTAAAGATTGAAGACGACTTTGATTCTGGTAAAAATATGCATAGTTTAATACAGTTACCCTCAAAGGATAAGACTTCAGGGAAGTCTTTTTTCTAATATTTAACTATTAGTTTGTTTCTTTCTATGAAAATCATTAAATAAAACCTTTAAAAACTAAACTAAACCTTTAGAACAAATTTTTTAAGCTTATCATTTTAAAATAGTATTATGTTGACATGTAATCTGCCAAACAAACTTTGAAAGTAAAAATTTAAAAAGAAAATATCTAAAAAGCGTCCAAAACACCGTTAGTTTGAAGTTTATTTCTTTTAGATAAGAATCGTGATTCTCCTTTTAATACCCTCGACATTGGAGACATATATTTGTTTTATAAAACACTAAAATCTAAAAACTAATCTACATTTTATAAACCAAAAACCTAATCTACATTTTATAAAACAAAAACCTAACCTACATTTTATAAAACACATAAACCTAATCTACATTTTATAAAACTTTAAAACCTAATCTGTGTTTTATAAAACACAAAAGCCTGAAACCTAATCTTTGTTTATAAAACACAAAACTCTAAAACCTAATCTATGTTTATAAAACACAAAACTCTAAACCCTAATCTATGTTTAGCCCACGGTTCCTAAACCACCCCAGCCGAACAAGCGTAGGACGCACGCGGATAGTATCCCAGACTCAGAGAAACCTTTCACGTGTGATCGTAAGTTTTCTGATTTAAATATTTTCCATCCTCACTGCTATTTAGCATTATATTCTTAATTATTAAATTTATCATTATCAAAATCATTATCAAAATCATTATCATGATCATTATCATAATCATTATCATTATCATTAGTAACATCATTATCATAATCATTATCATAATCATTATCATTATCATTATCATAATCATTATCATAATCATTATCATAATCATTATCATTATCATTATCATTATTATAATTATTATCATAATCATTATCATTATCATTAAAGAAGAGTGTCATCTATTACCATGTTATCATCATTAATATGATTTTAAAATTATTATCATCAGATGGCTAGATCATCATTGTCATCAGTTTTAGTATATCATTTATCATCTGATCATTATTATACCATCCATCATTATAATAAGACTTAAAGAGGTCGGACTTAATGAATTGTGAGATGATGTAGAATTAGTATTGCGTAGTTGAACCACTTCTCTTTATCTCTGCGGCACTATAAAGTGGTTCTGCTAGGCAGAACTAGTTAAACTGCTTCTCATTATTCTTACTAGACTAGACTAGACCTGGACTAACCTACCATATTTATAGTTTGCTGTGCCAGATACATGACAAGACCTGGACTAACCTACCATATTTCTAGTTTGCTGTGCCAGATACATGACAAGACCTGGACTAACCTACCATATTTCTAGTTTGCTGTGCCAGATACAAGACTAGACCTGGACTAACCTACCATATTTCTAGTTTTCTGTGCCAGATACAAGACTAGACCTGGGCTAACCTACCATATTTCTAGTTTGCTGTGCCAGATATAAGACTAGACCTGGACTAACCTACCACTACAACCATACTCATAAGGGACGAGCTGAGCCTGAAACCTACTCCTACTTCCAGGTAAGAGTCCTAGACCAGGATTTAATGTGTTTTTTTTTGTCTTAACTTAACATAATGATCAGAAAGATCCTAAAACCTATTCTATAAGTCTTATCACGGGGAAGAAGCCTTAATGAAACCGACTCAAACTTTTAGGATAGAACCTGTTAAGGCCAGGTTTTCTTTCCTAAAATTATCAGAAGGGTAGGACGGACGGTATAAGTACAGCATGTACAGTCACTTAATGTAATTATACTGTACAGAATGATGAGAGTACCAGTACACTGTACAGTTACTTAATCTTATTGTACTGTACTGGAAGAGGAGGAGAGTACCAGTACACTGTACAGTCACTTAATCTTATTATACTGTACAGGAGGAGGAGGAGGGTATAAGTACAGGATCTCCTTCAGCTGGAAGTGATTCTCAGGTATAATAAGTTCAGATTCAATATTTTTTACGATAATAGAAACTGAGTTTTTTTAATCGCCATATCTTTGCAAGGTGGCGGTGTAAAAATTTGATATTTCAAATTTAGACAGTTTGATCTAACAGGCTTCATAGCTTAATCAAAACTCCAAGACATCGGGTTGTAAAATTTAGGATTAAAAAAATCAGAGTTTGAGGCAAGAACCTTTAGAAAGTTATTTTATTTTGACTCAAGTAAACAGTAAAAGAGATCTTATATAAGATCAATAGAATAGATATAAATAATAGATATATCTCATTATTTCTGCATCAACATTTCCTTTGCTTTTATATATCTCTGTTTACTAAAAATACCTCACACGGAATTAGCTTTCAACATAAAATTCTTTTTTGATTAGAGAAGAATTTATACATACTTCACAGCGTATGAGAGTTCACACAAAAACATGTTAACTTTTATTTTTTTCATTTGCCATGGATATAATGCAAGGAAAGTTAATTGCAGTTGCGTATACTCTGCGTACATATTGAAATAGATGAAGAATAGATGCATCAGTGGTCGTTTAGTATCCGAGGAGGTTAAAATCATTAAATTTTTATAATTTTGATAGTTTACATAATAGTTTCCTTTGACCAGAATATTTCATTTATTTTTTATGTGAAAGATAGATCCCATGTCAGGCTTCGACATCCGTCTTGTGTTTACATAACCGCCTACACTGCAGTACAAAAGATGGGTACACCTGAAATAACTTTCCTTGCATTAAAACCTTGCTTAGGATAGCACAAGAGAAGAAACAAATTAGTAAGTTTAAAAATGTTCAACTAAATCGGACTGAACCTAGGATTAATAAACTTTTAAAATCAAGCATACTGGCGGGAAATGTAAAGGACATTTTCTAAATACATATGACAAAATTTCTGTATTTAGGTTCAATATTGGATTCATAGACTGTATGAAGCAATAATATCGTCCACTATGATGTATAGATATATTATTGCTTATACTCCAGGAGGGTTCAGGAACTGGGAGAGCCAAGACGGATCCGTTCTCTCTCCAGGTTGAGGATGAAACTGTAGTTAGAGGAAAATCTCCAGCGTTCCTCTCAAAGATGGAAAAAAGTAAATAAATCCCAAATATAAAAATTTTCATATATTTTAACAATTTCTTTTTAATAAAAATAAATCATATATTTTAACAATTTAATTTTAAAAAATAAAAAATATTCATATATTTTAACAGTTTTTTTAAAATAAAAATAAATTATATATTTTAACAACTTAATTTAAAAAAAATAGAAAATGTTCATATATTTTAACAATTTGTCAGGTCCTAAAGTGAAAAAGGGTCCAACACCTACTCCTTTAGTAGGATCTAATCCTGGATTGAAGGTAAATACAGGGTATTTTATTTTCTTGAAAAATCCCCCCGTCCCCATCTCAAAAGAGATAAGGCTTTCATCACTGAACTTGAAGTAATGGGGAAAATTCCAAGTATTTTGGTGTGAAATTAAATTGGAGAATAAACCAAAAAAATATTTAAATAAAACTTGCAAGTCAAAGACATACGCATTTTAAGCATATAATGAGCCAATATTTTCACTAAGAAAGCTTTAAAATTAAAATATTAATTTTTTTTAACCCGTTTTTCCTTAAGCCTGGACCTGCCCCGTACTGTGACTTTTGCCTGGGAGATTCAGCTCTTAATAAAAAGACTTTAACGCCGGAGGAACTGATTGGGTGCGCGGAGTGCGGAAGATCAGGTCACTGAAAAAAAAATATAGATTTGCTCTGCTCTTAAAGGGACTGCCAGAGTAATTTCAAGTGACCCTCCATGCAAAGATTCAATATGGTTTTCATAAACACTTTGTCTAATCAAGTATGGGCTAGATATCAATGTTTATTATTTTAAAAACTGATTGTTTTCAACTGTGATTTATTTCTCTACAAAAGTGACTTTCGCATTTCTACTGCAGGAGAACGTAATTGGAATATCAGAATTAAAGCACTTTTAAGTCTAGAAAAACAACAATATCTTCCACATTATTGATCAGATAAAGGTTTCCAAGTTACCGATGTGAATCGGGCATTGCCATTTTTGCATGCAGGGTCACTTGAAATTACGCTTAAAGTCCCTTTAAACAAGAATATACAGTGTTAACTATAAAACTGTGGAATAGGAAGACGACTGTTGGACTTAAATTTTGATTTTGAATAGACCAATAAACATCGTGTACACGAGACCCATTTCACATGATAAGTTGATTTTCAAGTTTCTGGTGTACACTATTTGCTTTATAACAACATGAAATACACATGAGATTGCTTAAATGTCGTCTTGCAATTTCACAGTTTTTGCATATCCCATTGTATCTACGGTAGTAGGCGATAATATCACTATAAAGAAGACGACTTTTTTATGTAAGTTTTAATTGTTAACAAGCTTTTTTCGAATTAGTAGTTTACAAGCAATTAAATTTTAAATTGACAGCTTCTCTTTGTTTCAATATTTTTGTGTATCGATGCTGTTTAAAAGCTTGATATAAATTATAATATAATCTAAAGGCGTCTTCTTTATATTGACATTATCACATACCACCGTAAAATAACCGGACCAAAGAAGGTACACCAGGAACCCACGCACAGGTTTTTGTTTCCTATAAATCATGTACTGCAATTACTTGGCGGAATTAAAATTAATTCAGGCTGCCCTGTATTCAGACTGAGAATCGTTTATATTCCTATAAATGTCAATATTACACTTGTTTTGTAAATTAAGCTATGCATGGGGGTATACTGGTTTATCTTCCTTGCAATGATCGAAACCAAGAATGATTTATGTAATCTTTTACGAAATCCTTTTTCTCTTAAGAGTTTAGTTTACCATTTAATTGAGAAATGAAGTGTAAAAAAATACCTCAAGGATTTCTTACAAAGAGAAGAGTAAATTAATTAAGATTTGAGATTATAAGGGCATATATTTAGGACATCCAACCTGTCTTCAGTTCACAGGGAACATGATGGTCAGCGTTCGACAATATCCCTGGCAGTGTATAGGTAGTAGGACTATGATAATGACCATGACAATGACCATGACAATGACCATGACAATGACCATGACAATGACCATGACAATGACCATGACAATGACAATGACAATTGATATATTGAAGAGTGTAAGACGTGTACTCTCTGTGGAACCTCTGAGAATGATGACCAGCTCCTGTTTTGTGATGATTGTGACCGAGGTTTCCACATGTACTGCCTTGTACCACCGATGAAGGTTAGTACAACGTACACTGTACTGACATTTTATGAGCTTTAGTTTAATTAGATGAATTGTTCAATTATTTTGTCAAATTGTCATTTTGTTTAAAAAATAATTTGGATTAAAATCTTATTGTTTTTTTTTTCTTGGAAATCTAAGTGAAACATAAGAAGTAAATTATGAGATGGATATTTCTTCTGCGTTCTGGAAATGTTTTGAAAAGAGACTTTTGATTAAAATCTTATTTTTTGCTCCTCCGTTTGTGTACAACTATTGTACATTACTGCAAAGAAATAAAACTTTTTTAATATCTCTCCCTTAAAGATGTAAATAAAAAATAGGGAGAAAACCAACAATATTTTGACTTGATCTGAAGGTTTTTCTAGAAATATTGACACTGTAAAATCCATATTGTTATATTCTGTAATATTTTCAGCTAAAAGAAACTGTATAACATAAATCCTCTCTTACCTCTCACATTAATCTTAAAATATCTGAACAAGCATGGAGTTAATGATTTGAATTTGATACATTGAAGAAAATTCTAAATTTTATTGAAAGCATTTTTTTAAATTATGGTTAATGAAATGTTTAGATTGCACCGGAGGGGTCCTGGAGCTGTCACATCTGTATGGATATCTTCCACGGAGTCAAATAGAAAACTGGAACTGGAACTGGAACTGGAACTGGAACTGGAACTGACACTGTAACTGGAACTGGAACTGGAACTGGAACTGGATCCGTCGGAAATAAATAAAGAACCGAACTTAAAAAATTGAAACATTCATCTTATAAACCTTTTAATATTTTGCCGCTAAATTTCACGCCATTCTAATTTTCTAAATTTTATTTATAAAATGCTCAAGAATGCATAAAATTTGGGAATTTTACCTCGCTAATTGTAGTAAATTGTCTAGTCAGCTAAAACTAATTGTAGATTATTATTGTGATGTGTACAGTGTTGTACACTTTTCTGTAAACTGTATATGCAGTAAAAGTAAAATGTAGAAAAAGTAGGAGACTTTAGAACGACCGAGCATTTATTTAGCATTTTGCAACAAATTAAAAAAATCAGTAAATAAATACAGTAAGAAGCAGAAAGCTGTAGAATAGGAAGACGACTTTTAGACTCAAGTTATGATTTTTAATAGTTCTGAAACATTGCAACACAAATTTTTACTTAATCAGGGATTTTTAAGATGCTAAGGCAAAACTATTTGCGTTGTAACATTAAATACACTTAAATATAGTTTTAATGTCGTCTTCCTATTCTGCAGTTTTCTTGTTCTCACTGTACTCTTTAGTTGTCTCTAAAGTGAACCCTACTTATTGTTTGATTGTAAAGACAAGCTTCCTGTTTTTGACTGTGCCAAAGATGATTATAACAATAATAATAATACTTGTAATTGGACTTCAAAGTCTTACCGATTATGGGTCAAATCCAAGAAAATACAGGTCAGGAAATCCATGTGTTTGTTAACAAAAAGACATGTTAGATTTTTTCTGGTTGCAATATATAAAAAAAATCAGGCTGGGGAGCATTAAGTTTGTTAATATTTCTCACAGAAAACAGTACACATTTGTTCAACAAAGACATGGGGTTCCTAAAGTGTAACTTTCTATGATTAACCTTTTTTTGTGTCTCAGTGCAATTTATAAAGATGCTAAAGTACTAAAAATAGATTTTTTATGAAAAAAATTATCACTTTCCGTGAAAGCATTATAGTATAATAAGTGGAATATTATAGTGTAAGTGGAAAATTATAGTATAATAAGTGGAAAATTAAAGTATAATAAGTGAAAATTATAGTATAATAAGTGGAAAATTATAGTATAATAAGTGAAAATTATAGTATAATAACTTTAATTATAGTATATTAAGTGGAAAATAAAAAAGAAAAATCATTCTAAATAGAGAAACTTTGACATAATATTAAATGTTCTAGACGGAACAGTAAAATTTCGTCAACATTTAAACATTGCAGTACGCTGAATCTTCTAAATTATAAAATGATATAATATTCTTTGATGAATAGAAATGCAAATTAATTGCATATTAGAAAAGTGAGTTAATTTCAGTAAAAATCCAATTACCTCCTCCTCTGTCGCATTTGATGGTATCGATCTTAAGCCCTGATCTGAAGTTATACAATATCTTTGAGTTACAATATTCACATTTTAAACATCTTAACCCATTAGTGACAAATAAAAATATCAAAATTCATTAAACTTTATAATTTTTATGGATTGTGACAAAAAAGAAAAGAGTTATAATATCGTAGACGTATAACATCGGAAATGTAAGGGCTATAGACAGATTTTATAATTGCATAAGCCTGACAACCCCGAATTCCCATTGATTTTTTACCTGGAAAACGATCATTTGAACTAATAGGTTAACAGGACTGTAGTAGACATATCTTCAAGTGGTATTTCATTAAATAAGGAGCATACACATTACGGTATCCTTTAAACCTTCATCTAATCAATAATTTGGATTGTGGAAGATATCTTTGTTTTTCTAGCGTGTATAGTGTTTAATTCTGTCAATTTCCTTCATATTGTTTCTTGAAGCAAAAATTCACAAGTCACTTTATAACGAAACCAAAATTGAAAATGAAAATTTTAAAATAAAGATTATTAATATCTTATGCAGTCTTGCTTAAACAAAGCTTCCAAAGGTATCGTCGTGAATCAGACATGAAAAACTTTTTTTAAATCGATAGTATACGGTCTTTTTAATTTTATTCTTCTTTAGTTAAACCTAGTTGCTTATTGTTTTATGCTTCCTGATCTTAAATATTTATTGTCTGATGTTTATGCTTCCTGATCTTAATTATTTATTGTTTAATGTTTATGCTTCCTGATTTTAATTATTTATTGTTTAATGTTTATGCTTCCTGATTTTAATTATTTATTGTCTAATGTTTATGCTTCCTGAGCTGAAAACTTTAGAATGGGATATCCTTAATCCCGTTCTGTTAATTAATCTAGAGATTAATAACAAGAGGAGAGCAAGCATTATTTAATCTGGAGATTAAGAAAAAGAGTGGATCAAGCATTAATCCCGATATCCACCATTCAAAAGTTCCCAGCTCTGATCTTAATTATTTACTGATAAATATAAATCCTCCTGCAGCTTAGTGTCAATGTACAATCTTCTGACAGAGAGTTTCAAAAAACAAGAGTTCAGAACCTAACTATGCCTTAATGTCTAGGGGATCACAATGAACAAGACTTTTGGTGGTTACAACATTTAGATTATCGTGCATGGTGACCCACAACATTTAATTCCAAAATATTAAGAATAAGGATAACATTTAGATTATCGTGCATGGTGACCCACAACATTTAATTCCAAAATATTAAGAATAAGGATAACATTTAGATTATCGTGCATGGTGACCCACAACATTTAATTCCAAAATATTAAGAATAAGGATAACATTTAGATTATCGTGCATGGTGACCCACAACATTTAATTCCAAAATATTAAGAATAAGGATAACATTTTTTCCTTAAATTCTATGATTTCAAAGACTACAATGTGTTAATAAAGAAATTAAGTTTGATTATATTTGTCTCGATTAGTGTTTTATATTTTATAGAAGGTTTTGCTTTCCAATTTAAGCAGATTCGCATTAAAAATATCTTCATACTAACGTACGCTTAAAGTGCTCTCCATCCTATTAGTTAAACTTACAAAACCCCCTTTTTGAAACAAAACTTCCAATTAGTGACATAAAGTTAAAAACAATTCACGATTGAGTGTTTCCTATAATTGGATAGGCATTTTAAAAATTAATGATCCAAACCTCATCGAGAAAATAAAGAAGATGATAAAAATATTTTTTCGGTCTGGGTTGATCCTCTTCCTGTTCTTGAGATTTGATTCTTTAATGAAGATTTATAAAAAAAACACATTGGACAATGGTTTTACTTATAATTTGGCAAGATCAGAGCAGAAAGCATGGCTTATATAAATACTAAATATTCTTAACTCCGCGTCCCGTTTCCCACACCAATAGAAACATTAAAATGTTGTTTTTTATCTTATTTTTGTCGGTAAGAAAAATAAGTCATTGGATATTTCAATTATAAAATAGAAATTCTTTTTAGAGGATATATATTTATTTAATCGTCTTTTTCACACGTTGATATAGGGTTAATTAAACACTGATTATCATGTTAAGTATTAATATCCTGTTTAGGATAGGATCACGTTGATATAGGGTTAATTAAACACTGATTATCATGTTAAGTATTAATATCCTGTTTAGGATAGGATCACGTTGATATAGGGTTAATTAAACACTGATTATCATGTTAAGTATTAATATCCTGTTTAGGATAGGATCACGTTGATATAGGGTTAATTAAACACTGATTATCATGTTAAGTATTAATATCCTGTTTAGGATAGGATCACGGGAATGTGATTAGTTTGGTCTGAAAACTCGAAGACAGGTGAGTTGACTCTCATAGGCAAAGCTGGGTTCCCAGGCTAGGTTTTAATATAATTAGAAACAATATAATCCAATCACCCAATGTAGGATTGAATAAATGAGAGATATAATAAGATATAACAGAAGGTTCCAACGGGGCGGTTTTTTTATTCTAAACCTAGTTCCTTGCAAGTTCTATAGATTAACGAGTATCCAATCTGACCGGATATATTCAAGTATAACGGATGTCATATTAAAACCATTTTATTTTCTCACTTCATTAACACTTCCTCCCCCCCCCCCACCCCCTCTATTCTTGGACCTGACGCCCCTTCTGATTTCTAACCGCCCTCTGACAGGTGCTCCATCCCCCCCTAGATTGTCTGGATGATATGAATCCTCGATCATTGCACCTGATCCAACCTTCTCCTTTAATCCCTGGACAATAGGGCACTGACAGCACTCTCTACCAGTTACTTTGACATCTTTATATATAAAGAAGTAACCTCTGTTGTTTGTTTGTTTGAATGTCCGATCATAACTCATGAACCCCGAACACTACAATCCAAGATGTACACGTTCTCACGCAAAAATCAAACAGTATTTTTCCATGTACTCCTTTCAAACTTGAACTAGAAAAAAGCGCGTAGCAATTTTGAAATGTTTAAATCTAGGGTTACAAAAATGTATAAGAGAGTTGGTGGTTTAAACCAAATTCCAAATATAAAATTTGATGAATAACTTTCCGAGTTGTCTAGATTTCAATACGTACCGATTTGCCTCAAATTTTGATTTTCTACTCTGCTCGGGTTAAAAAAGATACCTTGGCAAAATTGGCCCATATCTAACACTGATTAACAAATCTCGGTTTGGAAATAATGTCTCCCATAGCCCCCCCCGTGCACACCTCTGCTCATACTTGTATTACATATTTTTATAAAAATCAGTGTAAACCCCAAAAAATCGTAAGAGCAAATTAAGATGTTTGATTTTGGGGTCCTCATCCGGATTCGCTATTTTGTAAGACGGATCCGGATTCGCTATTTTGCATGCATGACGGATCCGGATTTACTATTTTGCAGGACGGATCCGGATTCGCTATTTTGCAGGACGGGACGGATCCAGGATATGAAGACGCATTAAAATGGAGCCCACACGTTTCTAATCTATAACTCTTTATAGATCACACCTAGTGTTGTTGATCGGTTTGGTTCGTTTTATTAAATTTAATTTTTATTAAAACAATTTTAAAAATATTTGCTTTTCTGCTCCTAGGCCAAATTTTGACCATGAGAGAAAATGTAAGTTATCAAACTAAAGATTAACAACACCTGAGATGTGTATAGTGTACAGTTAAGGTTCTCGGGAATTGCAATGATATCATCGGAACCCAGGATTCAACTCTTTATAGTCTCAGAAGGAATCTATAAATATTTATTTAAACTCCCGCCATTTTAGATACTTATACTTCCCAATCTTTAAACAGTTGGAATTATTCAAACATTCATTTTATTTATCAATCATAGAATTCTGAAAAGTACATTTTGATTTTTCTGATCGGATAAACATTGAAATTCTTTAAAAATAAACAATTTTAAATCCAGCACAGGGAAAAGCAACTCAAAAGTCAAAAATAGATCTTTATATTTAAATATTTAGAGAAATTTGTTAAATAAATCATATTTTTCTTTATGATTTTTATGCTTTTAAGATTAAGTTATTTTTTAAGAAAGATTTTCTTTGGATTAATAAACATCTATACACATATACTACGCGTGTCTGTCTGTTTATTTGTATGTTTCTACACAAGAAACATCAAACGGCTGAACCGATCGGTCTCATGTTTTCTGTGGCAACTCACATGACCCCTAGAAAGGCGTATGGACCATCAACATTTTTTCATATTTTACAATATAAATTCTTTAAGATCATATAATATAAGTTTGAATTATTAAAGGTTTACAACGTCAGATTGCAAAGATGTAGGGATTAGAACATTTGAGCTTGATAGCAATATTAGGCCCAATTAATGTCTTTGATTTTCAAAATTTGGTACAATATAATAAACATAACATAATAAATGACGGGAGAAAGCAAGAATTTGGTCCAGAATTCAATTAATATTGTCTAAATTATTACCAAAAACCAAGGCTGATGTTTACTGGGGCACCCTGTTCTAATTTCCATTATCATGAATGAAATCACGGGCATGGTAAGAATGTGATGAGAAGACTCATCAAATTATATATTTTAAATTAACTTTATTATGGTAGGAGGAGGAGGAGATGGGGGAGATAGGGGGATGGAAACTGGAAAGGGATGGGGAGGGGGGGGNCCCCTCCCCTTTCTTCATTCTGATTCTACCTGTAATTGTTAATCTCGACCCTTAGGTTTCGGCAAAAAATATTAGATTTTTTTTCCTTTAAAAAAATCTTTATATCGTTTTTAATTAATGATAATTCATAAAAATTTTATTTTTAAGTTAGTATTAAACCCGGTTTCGTCGCCTGGGCGCCCCAATAGAGACAGAAGGTAGAATCCTGTAAACCCTGCAGTCTTGAGCTTAGACTGAGTACTGAGCCAGTCGCGCTCCGAACACAGATAAGTACAGGTGTATCCTGTATACCAGTCATCTTCAACATAATTCCTCATCTAAACTGAAAATAAAACCAAGTGAAACTTGTTTGGTTTATTTAGAAGAGTGATTACAAAGACTAAAAATAATTCGTTTTGTCTTTGGAAACATTGTATGCGTATTGCATAGATCAACCATGAATG